TAATATGGCATTGTTAAGAAGCATGATTATTTCAATAATTAACAAAATACTACCTGTCTGAAAAAAAAGCAGAGAAACAAGTTACAACATGATGGAAAGCGCAGCAATGACAGCATAGAAGTCAAGTCTTAGGCTACAGCAAGCGAGGATATGCTCAAATGCACCAGCCATAGACACAGAAATAAAGGAAAGAAACTGCTTACCTTCAGAAGGCCTCAGGTACACAGGGATCTCCAAGACAATACCCTCATCTCCATTGCAAGCCCTTAAATGAGGTCTGGGAAGGAGTGGATCCTGGCTCCATCCCTTCCAGTCACTCAGGTGCACTGCATGCACCTGAGCTCCCCTGGGTTGGCCCTGCCTTCCCACCAGGTGCTCAATCAGTGGTTCAAGCCGTGACTCAGAATTTCCACTATACAAGTTGTGAAATGGAAATTGAATGAATCAGTAAATGAGAAAGTGTGTGTAATACCAATTGAAAGAAATACAATAATTATTCCAAATATCCCAATTAGAAACTGGATAAATCAGTATTAATTTCCTTGTCTAAGGGCTAACTGATTTCTTGATATTTCTGAATGTAGGGAAAGTAGGATGATAAAGGGAAAATAATGATGAAAAATATATATTATATGGCAATAACAGATTAAGAATGTCACTATTTTTTTTTTCCTAATGTATCTACTTTTCAACATTATTTAAACATCGAGATTAACAATTCTAAGTATTCTTCACTTAAAAAAAAATATATATATTCCACAATGTTTCTTCATTATTAAGCTCAGATGTAGGATTTTATTTGCCTTTTAAGGAACAGCCTTTGCCTTCACCAAATATTAAACAGAATTCTGTTATCTTAAAAAAATATATATATATATAGGACTTTGAAATGTAACTTTGATTACTTCTAGTATATCAACTCTTTTTTCTTCCTCACAAATTCTTTTAAACAGTGACTTCAACATCCCTAAACTGAGCAAAGCAAAGCATATGGGAGATGACTAGGTGAGACGAGGTGTTCAGCTTTAAGGTTACTATTTACGCCATGTGAGGACTACTCATCTCCAAAGTATACAAAAAAACAATTTTTTTTTAACTCTCCCTTGACAAAATAACTTTAAACATAAATAATATATTTACCTATTATTATTATCCCTTTGGCACAAGATAATTTTAATGTGGTTCTTAAGCTCTGATTTATTTAGAAATATATAGATTGAAAAACACTAGAAAATACTACAATGAAATGATAATCCTCTTAATAAACAGTTCAATCCGAATTACATGGATGAAACAACTGCAACTCTACTTGGATGAGCACAAAAAGGCAAGCATCAGACCTAAATTAGAATGCTTCTGATTACATTGCTCTTTCTATACACAGAGATGAATAAGAAACAAGAAATCTCATGAGGTTTAGCGCTGAGAAGTATCTTCTTCACAAACTGGGCTAAAAGATTTAGAAAGGCAGTTTCAGGGAGAACTGAGAGCCAGGTCTCCTCCGTGAACATAATAACCCAAGACAGCTGTCTTGAAAGCAATGAGGAATGTGAAACACATAAAAACAAAGCATAAGGTAATTCAAACATCTACTGCTGGCTGTTCAAAGAACTGAGATTTCCAAAGCTGGAAACAAATACCACAACCCATATTTCAGAACTGTAAGTATATATTTTCAAGTGTAACACAGGATAGCAACCTTTTCATTTTTCCAGTGCTGACAAATGATGCCCAAAATTTTACTGAAGGTTGAATTCCTGAATTAGTCCCCTTCTTTTTCCTCTTGAAAAGGAATTTGTCAACAAAAAAATCTTAAGGACTGTTACTTCTAAGCAGCCGTTTTATTCAAGTATGAGGCATTTCACCAGAAGTGTAATTAGGAAAAAAAATCACATAAAACAACTGTATCCCAAGCGGTAATTCTGACAAAACATATTGCATTTGAAAAATCTGCTAAGGGAGCAAATTGTGCAGCCATTGCTGCTTAACCATCAGAATAACCATCCCAGAGGTCTGCACAAAGATAATTCTCCATTGGATGAACAGTGCTCAGTGAAGTATCAAAGTGTTTAACAATAGTACCATAATGCTCTCTCGAGTATTATTTTCTGACAGAGTTAAAACTATATTAAAAATTTAGCACAAGAGATCTGTGATGTAGAATCAAGAATGAAAGACATAGCAATTATTTGAAGCCCTTACTACTCAAACTTCTAGGCAAACTACAAAACTCCATCTGTGTACTGAGGTGCCTCCTTGAACGCTTTTGGCAGATCACATGCATTAAGACAAGGGCTACACAGACACAGACCTCTGAATGCTGTTGACAAAGTAGCGGTTTGCACACATTTTTATATCTGGCTGTATTCACACTAGTAAATCAGCACAGCAGAAGATGGTAATCATAGAATCATTAAGGTTGGAAAAGACCTCTAAAATCACCTTGTCCAGTTCTCCACCCACCACCAATAGTGCCCACTAAACCACATGCCTAAATACTATATCCACTCTCTCCTTAAGCAGCCTGCAGCTTTGACTGCAGTGTTGAGGCTCACGCAGAAAAACGTGTAAACCTGGGTTTCACCTGCTCCTGTGACTCCTTGATGCCACTGCAGAAATTATAGTCTCATTCAGGATACTATCACAAAAATGAAATCTTGTCTGTGAAGTGGACTCAAAATCTCTGGCGTTAGGTTGGTGGAGACAGGGGCCCCTGCCAGACTTTGTCCCAGTCTGACTGCTGGCCCCAGTCATGCACTATACCAGGTCCTTTGGAGTGGGTAGGAATCGGCTGTATCCAGTAGAGGGCAGCCCCGGCCTCATTTCATAGATAAGCCAGACAACATCCTGCTACCAAAACCTGCTGTGTAAATTCACTATAGGCATACCATCTTTATTTTTCAAAGTACATAAAAAATGGAGTGCTCCCTACCTTTGAAAAAACAAGCCTGATAGGCTGGTAATTTAAAAGAAATCTTGTTAAATAATGCTAGTGTAAAATAGCTTCATAAAAATACATGCTGGCCATAATCCCATTTTTAAATCTATGCAACAAAATTATAGCCTTGTAATATTAAAATGTGAAACTAAACAAAACAGCAACAACAACAAATAGTCTATGAATACAGTTTTCTGTTCTGTACTCAGGTCCTATACTAGTCAGCTACAAAACACATACAATGAATAAAATGTTTAATGACCACTTGTTGGCCATAATATTTAGGGACTGTACAAAAGAACACTATTCTTATTCCCCCAAATTAATGTATAAGTTTTTCTAAGGGTGATATTCACAGCTGAAATAGAAAATCTCTTTCCATAAAGGCCATGTTTTGAGTATTGATCTATGCAATCAAAAAACTCTTTTTCTTCATTTTATTTCTTCCTAGATGAACCGGTTAGACCCATTTAATATTTATTCCCATGCTATTTGTCAAATCATACAGCTATTAATTTAAATGCTTTTCTCCATTCCATGATGTACAATCGATAAAACTAGATAGTAACAATATCTGATCTCAACTGTTTCATCAATTCTTCTCATCTTGTAGGACAGGAGTTAACCTTTCAAAAACTGCACATGGAAACATTTTCAATCAACATACTGCTGTTAATAATAATGCGAAGGCTTCACATTTTGTGCAAAATATAGTAATAATTTTTTTGCTCAGAAATTGAATTTGCACAAGTGGCAAGAGATTGCATAAATTCTGTAGATGTGTAAATATTAAGATAATTGTCAACATGAGATCTTTTACCCAAGAACATTAGAACTTCCCTTCTGTATTTTGATACCATGCCTAATATTCCTTAAACTGTTAACAAAGGAAAATAGTTGTTACTGGTTACTTATAACTTTCAAACTGAGAATCAGCCACACATCAATTAACAGCCCCATATGCTGTTCTAAACTAGAATGGATCTCACATATCATCTTCCAAATGCAGGTTTTGGAAAAGCAGGAGTATAAGGTAACTGCATTTTACTCTGCAGTTAATTCCACGACGTAGTGCCCACATCCCTTTTATCTGCTTGATAAGTAAATCTGTAGTCATCCATAAACAACTAACCATCTGCCATGTGTTACAAAAATCCTTACGTGCTTTTCTAGTCCTCCATATTAACATATGATTTTATTTGAACCCAAACTACCATCCAAAAACAAAGTATTTTGGATTAGCAGCCAGACATTCTTTCAAGTTATTGAATGGTGCTGTTCTGTGATTCTTGTGGAACACAGAGACAAACAGCTACAAATGAATAATTTCTCATCCTATTCTTTGGATGATAACTGTTAACAAGCTACCAGATGATGATTTACATATTTTCAGTTGCCAGTAAATCGTCATTTTTAATTTTCTTATTGAAACTGATAATCAGTTGTTTTGAAGACAATCTTATTCTAATGTGATCTGCTATGAATAGGTAAACATTGCACAGACATTCATTTTTATGATAAGATGCTTGCACACCATATTCACCGTTTGACTTTGACAAAAATGATGCAAAGTAGTCTCCAACAGAGTCATGATAGTAACAGTAAGAAATATCACAGATGTCTAATATTCTTACAAGACTAACATTTTTTAAAAAGGTAAAAGAACAAAATGCTGAACTAAAATATATCTGAAACATGGCAACATGCTGCAGCAGATATATCTCTTTATGGTCATATTTCCAAACTCAAAAAATCAAATTACTTGCATTACAAAGAAATCACAAAAATCTTCATGTGATATGATATGACTTGATACAATAAATGTCACTAAAGGAAAATTAAAAGCAGATGTTCATTATATAAGAAGATGTTCTATTAGGTTAAGTGCAACTTGCTGCTTCTGAGCCATCACAGAAATGCACAACAATCAGTTACATTTAAAAGCAGACTACAGGTACAGAACAACTTCTCTTCAAATCTTTATCAAGATAAATTACTTATTTTCTCTTTCCTAAGAGATTTAATATTCAGAAAGACTGAGAAACAATTTGCCTCACAACTTTTTTGCTTTGATCTTCATCAGGATCCTGTATCTACCAAAGTTTACTCAATCTCTTCAGTTCCTCTTAGTCATTATTTTCACTGCTAAGTTTTCTTGTCTAACTTGTCAATTCCACCGGTTCTTTTTAAGAATGAAGAGATTTTTCTTTCAGTTTGTGTACCCTACAGAAATTCACTGTGTTTTAACAGCCCAGGTTTGAGATGCACACAGATATTTTCTCCTGTACAGCCCTTGTTTTGGGGACATATTTTGTCATTTGTCAGTATGAAATAGCAATTCTACATGGGAATGCTCCCAAAATAATGAAACATAACACGTACCTGATTTTTAACCGGCAGCTTACTTCGTGCATTTTGATGATCATTTTGATGATCACAAGTCAATTTAATTGGCACTGCTTTATTTTTCATCTCCAGAAGATCCTGAATTTCTTTCACTTGCAACTTCAATCTTCTTTTCTCTTCTTCCAAACTTTGCTTTTCTGTATCAGGTCTCTCTCTCTTTTCCCATTCAGAGGTATTCTCAAACTGCCATCTTTCCAGCTGGGAAGGATTTGGGAGCAGAGTGGGAGAATGACCAAAAGAGGAAAAGAAAGAGAAGTATGATAAAATTTGTTTTTATAGGATGATGCTAGTAGCCTCATCTCAAAGCAAGGTGATCATCTTAGAATAAGTCTGAGATATAAGCTTTCCACCGTGCTAAAATCAAGAGCTTCAAAAGACAAAAAAAAAAAAAAAAAAAAGGATAATTTTAACTTTACAGAAGTAAAGCATAGGTAAAATTTTAAAATAGTAACTTGCAACTAAATCTTATTTGTTTCTGTTTCCCTTTTGTTTATGGAATAACTCTACTGAAAAAAAAAAAAAAGTTTGGATTACATTTATATTGATTTTGGAACAAGATTCTCAATCTTCACTTTTATAATTTGTCAAAAGATAAAATACAAGCATACTTTCAGTTTTGTATGTTTTTACTTTGAAGGAATATAACAAATATTCATTACACTGAAGTTCCATATTAAATCTTCAGCGCTAGGGAAAAATATCCTAATAAATACGATCCTTAAGGATTTTAATTTTAATTTTTCACTACTATTTTTTCTTGAGGTCACAATTAATACTCTTAAAAAAATATGACCCTTTATGGTCACTAGTGCTACCTCAGTGTAGGATAACTTTTCTTAATTCACTAATCCATGTATAGGAGGAATTAAAAGTAGCAACAAAAAGCTGTGTTACTAAGTAATAGGAAGCAATTATCTCATAACTGATTTTATTTGCTCTTCAGAGACAAGAAGATTGAGGCTATGTCATGAAGTTACAGAATGTTCCTCAAATTTCAAACAAACAGCTGTTGTAAAATGTATTTGTTGCACATACTTATCAGAAGTTTATTACTGGCAAGAACTTGCAAGTACATTATACAGTACTTATAAGACTGTTGACACATTTCATTAGACTAAAAACTGTGAAAATGTTTCAAGTTTTTTCAAAATAGGCGAAAAAAGGACAGAAGAAAAATGTGCATACACAGAAAAATAATAAAAATATATAGTTATCAGTTCTGAGAGACTAGAATCAACTACTTGATAAAAGTATGGAGCCTGACAACAGTGGAAGACACTTCATTTTAAGCTAAGAAAGCTTTAGAAGGAGCTGTAACAATTTGATTAACTAGCTAAAAAAAATAAAAAACAAACAAACACTCGTCTCTTCCCACTTTATTTCTGAGTAATTTTTCAGTTGTCTAAGACTTTAGTTCTATACATGTCCCATTAACCACATTGGAAACTTTCTTGTTTCAATGTGTTTTTAATACCAAGACACAACAAAAATATTTAACGGGCTCACTCACAATTGAATTTAACTAATATCAGAATTAGGCTTACTGGTTTTAACATTAAGTACTGCATTTTTTAAAATTAATTAAAACAAGGAGAGCCAGCCTTCTAACCTCAAAGGAACAGTGTATTAAAAGGTCTCTAGATAACAACAACAACCAGCTGAAACAACTTAAATGGCAGTCTTGGTCCATCTCTGTAGCTTCAACAGAGAGCTCAACAGAATGAGGCTAACAAGCCCTCATGCAAAAGAACAGTACATGATACAATCAAATCATCATGTTTGCATACTTAAAGGCCTGTTTTAGTCTGCTTAGTCTAGATTCACTTTGTATCATATCTGGAAATACAGTGCTCACACAAAAATTTATGTAGCTACTAAAACATAAGTTTACATACATGGACATAAGGAGATGTATACGTGTTTATGCATACACATGTAGCTAGATATATGTCTAAATATAATAGCAACCTACTCCAGGGAGTGTAGAAATTGAAATTCTAGGCAGGAATCAAAACCACATTTTCTCTGAAAAGTAAAACAGCTTTCTAACAGAGGTTGAAGAGGATCCAGATAAGAAGAGCGAATGGAATAGCACATTCCAGCATTTTGTCTAAGTAAAGTTCTCCCTAAGCAAAAGCAGACATTAACAGCGAGAAACAAAATTTAATCTCCCTCACATCATTTCATTGTTTTTTCATGCCACTGGAAATTTCTTAAACAATGAGCAAAGGCATCCAGCAAAGGATATGCCAGAATAAAAAGCTGAAATTGGCCTGAAAAATAAAATTCATTTAGTAGCATGATTCAAAATGAAAGTGAGCATGGAAAGAAACACGTCAACCATCCATGAAATGTTTGCTAGGATTCTTAAGAAAATATCTGAATTGTCATAAGACAAATGATCTTTTAAAATATATGTATTGTATTAAAAATGAAATATAAAATTCAAATATAAATATTTTCTAAATCTCTCTAATGAAGATAAAAACTATATTTGATGGAAAACATGAAGTTATTTATATTTTTCCAGATACTTCTTCAGGTACTATTCTAAATATGGTAAACTGGAGTCCCAAAAAGACCAAGCGAAGTAGGAAGAAAGAGAAAATAATGAGGTTGTTTTTCTTTTCCTCCACAAGTGTCCTTTACCAATAATGAAAATGAGTAAAAGAAAAACAGTAATGCTTATGATTCACTGTTTCCACATACAAATTAGAACTCAGCCATGAGCTTCTCTCTGTAACACCCAAAGATATATGTAATTTGGGCATGAGCACTTCATTAACAAAAGGAATAATGGAAAATCAAAGACAAAGAACTCTGAAATTACAAAAGAATGCTTATTTAGCAATTAAATAGAGCCAAATCCAAATTCAATTTCTAAGTCCATTCACATAAATACAGAGAATGAGTGCCAACTGAAGAGTCAGTTGTCGAAGTGTTATAAACTGAATGGACTATTTTTTAAGACATTTCACCCTACCAACAAAAATTACTTCCTCAGGCAGTTCCTTCTCATCATGGATTACTCATTGAAAAACAAAACAAAATAAAACAAAAAGCCACTCAGCCACTCTTGAAACCCTGGTCAGTCTTAATGGTAGTATTTGGAGAGAGGTCCAAAAGAGTTCTTAGAACTAAAATGGGCTTTAGTCTAAAATTAGGTACAGTAGCAAGTAAAAAAGAAACATATTGCTTTTATACTCCACATCATACTAAGAGATTATCTGGGAACTAATTTTGATTTTTCAAACCATTATAATACTCAGCAGCCACAGAACTGTCTTTGTATACACAGCTACAAAATTAGTCACTTGGTTATTGTTGGTTATTGTACTACCTAAATATATTCTCTAGAATGAGATAAGCATCTGCAATAAAATTAAACAGGGAATCAGGAATTGAACTTTTTTTCCATATGATCTTCCCGCAAGTGACAGAAGGAGCCTAAGATGTTAACTCCAACTCTAAACAGAATGTTAGATGCCCACATCCGTAAATTCTGTCCAACAAATGTGCATACAGTAACTGGAAAATAAAACATCGCATAGATCTATTTACCATCAAATTATTTTTCCCTCACATTGTTCTAATTTATAGTATTCAACTACTGTTTAGTGGACTAATATCACATTTACTGTATTTTCATTTAAAAAAAAAAACAAAAAAAACGCAGGTACAATGTCTTTAAAGTACCCATGAAAGATTTGGAACACAAGAAAGACCTAAGTTTCTTCAAAGCATCTGCTAAAAGACACAAATTCTAAGCCTCAAAGTTCACCTTTTCACAGTGATGATGCTAATCAATACCAAGTCATTTTTGGCTGGCTTCATGTAGAGAGAAATCACAGCCATCCAAGGTTGAATTTCAGTCAAGCAATTAAGCAGAAGATGACTACTAAGCCAAGAGGTGATGTCAAAGATAAATTTACTTATCTGTGTGTGTAACATCTGAATTCATTGCAGCCAGGATGTCTACAAGCTCATGTCTATAATGATAATTTTTGAAATTTAATATATTAGATACACAAAGAATAAAGTCACAAAATTATTTTGTTTATATATATCTTTCATAGACAAGATTAGTATCATTTATTTTAAGATAAATAACTGCTGAGCAAAGTATTAGAGCTCATATTTTCTTAAATATTATATTAGCTTATTTTCTGATTGTCTGTAGTTATCATTGGTTTGTTGTTAAGTAGAGTTTTCCCAAACTATATGCTTATTCCAAACAGCATTTTTCATATAATGCTCTCCAAGAAAGTACTTGCTCTCTCGTTCATCTTTGGTAAAGAATGTGCAAAAATGTGAGGTGCCAGATCTCAATTTTCAGATTTCAGCTTGGACCACCATCTTCACAAAGTCATCACATGTGAATTGTCTCAATTAAAATGATAACTTCCTTATGAGAATTTATCTCTGACACATTCACTGCACATTCCTAACTCCACTCAGGACCCAAGCCCTGCGTTACAGCCCACTTGACTTGTAGCTCCAGGAGTTCAGCTTGCAGCATCTAAGGCCAACTAGCTGATGTGAACTGTAAAGAGCAGGAAGAAGACTCAGCAGAGGAAGTTTACTGATATTTCAATGTTATTTTTAAATTAACTCTTTCCGTTTCAGTCCCTGCCTGAGCAATGCCTGTTTCTGTCTTCACAGCCCATTGATCCAGAGCTGCACCCCAACCTTGACCCATGACTTACACCAGCCCTAGTTGCTGTGGGCTTATTTAATGGTCTGGACACAACTCTGGTTTACCAACACCACGCCTGTTCAGCTTTCCTGGGTCAGGTAGTGTGGGACTGGGTCCTGGCCAGTACCAGGTCTGCCTCAACCTTCTGCTCCTGGCTCTCCTTCATGTAGGGTGCAGCCTGCCACCCACTCCCTGAAACCACCCCAAACACTCCTGTCACTCATAACAAAAGAGCAAAGAGGTGGTTCAACCTTTGAGCAAAGTGTCTAACAGCTTGTGTTAAGAGAAGAAAAATTAGAAAAATAAGTTTCAGAGACAGTGCAGATTGGTCTTTAATGTTTCACTAAAACTAAATGTTTTGACAATATTTGAAAATAATCATGAGTATGATTTTCCCAAATAGAAACAAAGAAGAGAATGAAATCATTTACTCAAACTTGCTTTTTGAAAACCTATATTTACATATTTACATTTAAAACAATGGCAGAAGAAATTTAAGTGA